ACCGCTCGGACTTCTCCCTCACTACCGCCCCAGCTCGTCCTCGTCCCGGGGCCGCCCAACCTCGCCCACACCCCGGCGTACCTGCACGGCTGAGCGGGAGAGGAACAAGCGCTGCTCCACGGCACGGGAGAAGGTAGAAACCCCTCACGCAAACGCGTCCGCACACACGCGTGCTCCGTCGCCGGGCTATATAACGACGATTCAGCCTAACTTGTTGCGGCCAGGTCGAGCATACTGGTGGCCAATCCCGACTGCGTCCTCTGGGCTCTTCGAGCAGCAATTGGGTACTGACTCAGGATGAAGGCGTGGCTCTTGATTGGCTTTGACTCATGCCTATGAGACTGTGAGGAGCTCGTTTCCCTAGTAACGGATTGGCAGTTAGGGAGACCAATAACAGAAGGTACGGTAGGAAGGGAGGTGGGAAGTTCTTTGACCGATATCCACAGTAGCCAATAAGTGCATGGAACCGCTCCCATTCGTTAAAACGTCTTCCTCTGGGCGGAGATCCGTTTTCCAGGCAGGAGCGGTTGCTCCACAAGGTGGGGCCCGTGTACTTTGGGGAAGTAAACCCCAAGCAGCTAGGAGGTGGGCGCCAGGGTGGCCAAGGGAGCCCCCGGCCAATCGCAACGCGGGAAGAGCTGATTGACGCTGGGGTTGGACCGTACCGAGGAGACCAAGCGCCCCGGCCGCCGTGCCCTCTGGGGCGATTCTGAGGCACTCCTGGCCCGGGTTTCTGTCCATTTTCCTTTCTTTTCTTCCCTTGTTGGGTGCGGCCCCTGAGGCCCCCTCTCCCGCCTTTTCCCGCACAGTTTGGTACCAGGAGAACCAGTTGGCAGTTTCCCGTTCTTCGGGTTTTTTTTTTCCTTCTTATTCCAACTTTTTTAAATTAGCGTGCGGCCGCCTAAGGGCACTTGCTGGCTCTCACGATTAGTCAGCACTATTGTTGGACAACTGTTCGAGGAAAGCCACAGGAGAAAGTGACTCCCGCTGTGTACCTGAGATCTTGTAAAAAGGTCCCACGTGAAGTGTCGAGTTTGAGAATACCAATTTGTAGCCTGCTCTTCTCGGCAAGTGCTCTGCAGGTCGGCTCGTGGGTGTTCACCTAGGAACCGTAGTTTGTAAATTCTCCCATAGGCTTGGGCCTTCTTGCAGCAGCCTGTGCGTCACCACCATTGTCATGCAGATTTCTGAGTGCTGTGGGTGCGGGGGCTTATTTCTTCAAGTCATCCCACCTTAAAAATGGAGCTTGTCAAACTCCTATATGGACACCCCAAAGCTTTCCCGAAACAGTTCAAGGGCTAAGTGGCGCTCCAGCCTGGTCCGGTTCACGTCTCTTAGGGTTTCCTTGGGCCCTCTGTTGGTCACCACGAGCATTTGATATGGAAATACAGGGACAAGCCTTGATTCCTTCTCTTTCCAGGCATGTGACCCTGCAGGAGGGGCTCTGGTTAAATTTTACAGGTTTGGGGATGAAGCACGTGGAGCCCCTCTGTTGGGGGCGAAGGGGCGCAGGCAACATCCTGGTGGGACCTCGGTGAGTCCCCAGGAGCGAAGTGGGAGCGTCCCTCTCCGCTATCCCCCACCCCTCACCCCAGCCTCACTCCCGTATGGCACTCGCTTTTTCAGCATTTATTGAGCTCCAGGGGCTGGGGTCATGATCAAGACGCTGTCCCTGCCCGCTGTCACTCATGCAACAAACCTGGGCGCTGTGCTGAGACCTCGCAAAACTGCTGAACGAGGGTTTGGGGCTATGAGGGCACCAATTGAACCCGGCTCAGAGGAGAGAAGCGGCTAAAGGTTTTCCGGAGTAAAGAACCTGTACGATCCTGTTAGCCACGCTAAGCAATTTGGACTTTATTCTGAGGGCGGTGGAGAGCTCCTGAAAGGTTTCTTAAAGAGTCAACTAAAAAAATTGCATTTTACAAGATGACTTTCCAAATTGAAAGGCTAATAAGAACAGATTGGCAAACCTTCAAATGCACAGCTTGGTAGTCTTAATCACATTTGGAGGGAATTTTAAGTGATGCAGCTCTTTTTTTGTAAAGTTGTTTGGCAATTTCTGTTAAAATTGTGTATAGCCCCCTGCTTCCTTGATAGCTACATTTCTTTACCAAGAGGCACGTACTGTGTGTATTACAGCATTGTTAGCTTTGTTAGAAATTTTTTTAAAACTGAAAACATAATTGCTTATCAATTTGCAAACTGATTTAACTGGTGATATGCACATAGTATAGAATACTATGCAGCAGTTTAAAAAGAATGAGGTGGAACTATATAGGTAATGAGCCAGTTTCCAGTTGTTAATTGAGTTGTTAACTTAAAAAAATCAAGTTCAAAAAAAACATATAGTGAATTCCTATTTGTGTTAAAAACAAAAAACAAAAATCCTGATTTCTATGTGTTTAAATGGGTATGTGAGTGCATAGGAAAAGTTCTAAATTTAAAACACAGTCATTCCCCCCTAGGGATTCCCCTCGGTTGGGAGTGATAAAATTAATGCATTATCTGAAAGTGTTACAATGAGACTGTGTTCATGTACTGTGTTGTGTAATGAGAGGTAGGAAGAAAGGAAGGAAGAGGAAATAGATGATCAGAGGGCGAATGGGGACAGGATCCCTCAGGTGGCTGTTGACTGTCTTCCACAGGAGAGAGCAAGTTGGCATCCTCCTGTGGTCATGTTACATGAAAACAGTTCACCTCTTGGTGGGTATCTAGCCAAAAGACACAACCAAGCCAACGCGGGAGAAGGAAAGATTACTTGCAGCATGTAAAGAGAACACCAGAGATCTTTTCCCAAAGCATTGTCTCCCCGAACAGCAAAACGGGAAGTTTTAGGCTAAGGGTACTTGCACGTTCATGAAAGGGCTTGAGCAGAGGAGAATTCACCATAGAATCGGGGCAAAGGTTGATAGAGCCCCAGTCTTAGTTGACTGTAGTCAGTCAGGAAGGTCAACATCATCATTCATCCTCCACCTGGGTGGGGGCCTTAGTTCCTGCAGAATTCAAAAATATAGTATTATGTATATCCTTTGACGAGGAACTAGGACTCTACTCTGTCACAGTACTACTTTTTGACTGCCTTCTTTGTGTTCCTGCATTCCTTTGTTCCCTTAAGATCATTGACCTGTTCAAGGGCAAGCATCGTAGCCAGGCTTAGATCACAAAATGGCTTAGGTCAAAAATGGGTTCTCTCGTGTGAAAAAAGCCATTCCTGGTTCTCTTTCTCCAGAAACTCCCTAACCTATCTGCTTGCAGTCGTTTCCCCACTCAGATCAACAATCCTGGGGACCAAGATGCTAGATATTTAGACAACGTTCAGTGAGTAATTTACCACCACGGAATAGTCTGAAACATCGGCTCTCAAGGTTGGGGAGGTGGAGATTTTGCCCCTAGGAGACACATGATCTTTTCACAACCAGGTAGAGGGGCTACAGGCATGTGGATGGAGGCCGGGGACTCACAGGAGAGCCCCCATGACCAGGCAGGCCAAAAAATCAATAGTACCAGCGGTGAGAAACCCTGGTCGAGTTATCTAAGGCAGAGTCCCTGACCTTCTATGGGTCTTTCTACTGCCAACCAAAATCTGCAAACTCCTCCAGTATACTACTTTACCCTTCTCTTTCTGCCAGTTCTCCCCAAAACTCTGAAAATCAGGGTGGAAAGAAGTATGGGCAAGACCCCAGGAAATACAGTTTTGTGGGGAGAGTGCAAAGATGGTGTGACACATAAGGAATGATCCTAAAAATGTCATCAGAATGAGTGTTTCCCAAACACAGCTAATCATTCAGAAATGGTGATTACAAATATATGCTTATATGTATCTTTAACTGTTAAACTCCTACCTATGAACAAAAACCCAGTGTAATAATATTCATTGTAGCACTACCTGTAGTAGAGACAGGAAGTAACCCAAATGTCCAGCTATAGGACTGGGTGATTACAATGCTACCATACAGGACACTCTTACAATGGACTGTCATGCAACCGTAGAGAAAATGAGGTGGATCTATGTGTATGGTTATAAAGATCTCCAAGGGATATCAATAAATGAAGATGGGAAAAATGAAAAAGGAGGGACATCATAGGGAGATTATTTCTATTAAGATATATGTATTGTTATAGTTATGTATGCACATTCCTGTATGGTTCTGCTGTATAAGCACAGGTTATATTTGGAAGGAGAAACTATTAATGATTGCTGTTAATGACTGCTAACAGGGACGTGAAATTGGGCCAGGGTAGGAGAAAGGCTTAGTTTTCATTCATTCACATTACCCTTTAGTAGTGTATAATTTCTTTAAATATGTGCATGTATTTTTCAAAAATTTAATGTCAAGTATAGCTTTTAATAGTGATATGAGGAACCATGCACATGGAAACTTTGATCTGAAAACAAACAGGATGGAATACACATTACTCCTTTACGAGGGGTTTTAAAAATGAGGCATCAGAGTTTTAATCTGCCTCCCTCCAAGACTGCTAACCTCTTTTCTTTAGCTCTTTACCTTACAAAAATCATACAAAGATCCAAAGAGACCTTTTTCTGGCTTAGAAATGCATGCCTAATTGGATCCCTCCCTCCTGCGGCATTGACTGTCTGCAAACACATCACCTCTTCATACTCTGATCATAAGGCAGGAACCTTGCTAACGTTCTCTACAAAGATCATCTCATTTAACATTCACAACAACACTATTCCCCATGTCTCAGAAACAGGCTCAGAGATGTTAAGCAACTTGTCCAAGGTCACACAGTGAGGGCTAGAAACTAGGACTCTCTCACTTCCAGTCTATGTTCTTTTACCCACTCATCAGTACTGCCCAGGGAAAGACAGTACAGCCCAAGCAGAGAAAAGGGCACGGACGCCCTCCTCAGAAAACCTGAAAGGCTGGGATTTTCTTTCCTTTTCTCAGGCATGGCACTAGGTATTGCTGCATAGACAGCTTTCCAGGCGGTTCCAGAGTTCTGGAATCCATAGCAAGTCCTGGTAATCTGCAGCCAAAGCTCTTTGCGAAAAGAGCACACTCTGGTACTACCTACAGACCTCGGCGTCCTCCCTTCCTGTGGCTTAGAAGAGGGACAGAAACTTGAAGTTCAAATCACATTGCAAGTACCAAGCACCTACTACGTGATAGGCATGGTGCTCTATGCAAAGTGTGTGAGTCCCTCTTCACACAAACTCTGCAAAGTATTAACTCAGTTTTACAGCAGTAGAAACCATGGCTCAGAAAGGTTAAATGACTGGCCCAAGGTCATGAAGCTTAAAAGTGGCATAGCTGGTATTCAAATTCAGATTAATACCATTCTAAACCCAAAGCAAATAAGGAAGAAAGGAACAGTAATAAAATATGTATGATAGGGCATCTAATCCTCAAACTGCTCATTTCAACACAGGGAGACCAAGGCAAAAAGAAGTTAAATAACTGTTCATTCATCAAATTGTGAAAATGATAATTTGCTAAAATCAAATGTTGGTGCACGGGTGGTTCAATGGTAGAATCTCATCTGCCACCTGGGAGGCCTCAGGTTCGATTCCTGGCCTATGCAGCAACCACCGTACCCTTCTGTAAAAAAAAAAAAAATATATATATATATATATATATATATATATAGAGAGAGAGAGAGAGAGAGAGAGAGAGAGAGAGAGAGACAGTGGTGTGGAAAAATAGTTATTCTCATATACTACTAGTAGAGAATATAAGATGGCATAGCCATTCTGAGGGCTATTTGAAAGCATCTGTTAAAATTAAAATCCATACACCCTATGACCCAGAAATTCTACTTTTTTATATCCACTCTGAAGAAACACTCCCACATGCATACAGTGAGCAAAGAGGTTCTTTATAGCATTGTTTGTAATACTGAAGAGTAATCTAAGCATTAATAAAAGAATATCTAAATTTACAATAGTATATCCATACTAGAGCATTTTATGTAGTAATTTTAAAGCTTAAGCTAGTTTATATGTGTATATATGTGTGTATTTATATACACATATGTTCACATTTTTAAAGTATACATTATAATATTATATAGTATAAATACCCAAAGCATATTAATTTTAAAAAACGTGTTGCAAATTATCTACAGTATGTCATATATGCTTAAAAAATACCAACACCTATTATTTGCATGTGTTTATCAGTGTTTGTAAATGCATAGGAAAGCATCTGGAAAGATGGACAGCAATCTGACAGTAATTACTACCTCCGTGGAAGACAGTGACATAAGGGTTTGAAGGAGACTTTTACTTTGTATTATTTTAAAGTTCTTGTTACATTAAGAAACTTTTCATTTATTACATGATTTAAAAAATAACTTGTCGGAACCCTCAGAGTAGCTTCTGAGTGCTTTTAAGTACCAGACACTGACCTGAGTATTTTGTGAGCCTTGTCTTATTTCTCACAACAGCACTATGAAGGTAGGTCTAATTATTATCTTTATTTTACAGGGAAAGAAACTGAGGTTTGGAGAGGTTAACTGTCCAGAACAGTCAAGAATTGAACACAGGTTTGTCTGGACTGTCTCACTGAACACAGCTTTAAATCTCGGAAGCCTACAGTTGTCTGGTAGAGAATAAAGGAGCAAGAGGATGGACAGACATCCTCTGACTTTTTGATGCAGTGCTGGGAGTCCGCTAAGGTGGGCTGGGACTGTGGTGGCCCAAAGAGCTCACGCCTTGTCTAAAGAGTCCCAGGCAGTCACTAGTGTTGTTTTCTGACATTGCTGTTTGTCCTCCTCCAGGTGCCTGGCAGGGTTATATCTTTCTACCTCCTTTAAAGATACACATGACCATGTGCTCTGCTTTGACCAAAACGACATGAGCAGAAGTGACACAGATCTCCAGGCAGTCTTTGGAGCTGGTGATTATTTGCTGAGGTCTTCCCTCCCCACCCCACCCCCAAAATTCACTGTTGCCCCCTATGGATAATCTCCCTTGACCTGGATCCCTGGACAAAAACAGTTTGCACAGAGCCATTCCTCCAAGATGGCCAACCTGGGCATATGGCATGAGGGAGGCAGAAACCTGTTGTTTGAAGCCATTTAGGCCTGGGGACTATTTGTTACCACAGCATTACCTGGCCTATCCTGCCAATTACAGATGGGTTTCCAGATCTTCCAGTTTTTCAGGAGATAATCAAAACCAGGGTCATCATATGACATCACTCAGTGTTTTTTTTTAAACATTTTATTAACGATATAAAAATGTTTTGCTCCCACTTAAAAAAATGCAATGAAGTATTCTTTCTAAGTGGACTATAACTGAGTTCATTCCTTTTGTCAACTTTATTTGGAATTTTAATTTTTTTAAATGCTTTTCTTAGTTCTTGTAAAAAAAGAAGCAACAAATTTTACATGCCATTCTACAAAGAGATTTTTTTTTAATTGTGGTAAAATATACAGAGCATAAAATTTACCACTCTAACCATTGTGAAGTACACAATTCAGTGGCACAAAGTACATTCACAGTGTTGCACAACCACACTCAGCACTCTTACATGTGGTTACCTACTCCAAAAATATTTTGAACCCTTTAGGTCCTGAATAAGGTATGTCTATAGGCCAGATTCACCAATTTGCAACTCTGCTGGATGCTCTGCTTCCTCTCCCAAGCCTGCAGCCCAAGCTCCCTTGGCTTTGCAGCCCTCTCTTCTCATGCCTGGGTTTCTCTGAAGGTCCTTTAAGCTCAGAACCTTTGATCCTAGGCTAAGTGTTCCTCAGTGGATAAAGCAGTGAATCAGCTACTGCATACCTGGATTATAACACAGAAAATAGACACTTGGTCTCCCGGCGGGAGTAGGCAGCAGCTATAAAGGACTTTCTTTGCAAAGCTTAACCCCAGCATCCACCAGAGGTATGGTATCCCTGGAGGAAGGCACCAGGCACTGTCTGAGAACCCTCCACTACACATGACCATAGTCTTTACAATCCTATCCTCGTAACAACAGCCAGAAAGGGCCCATTTCCCAGGCCCACTAGTTTAGTGATGAAATCACTTACCCAGGCTGTCAAGGCTGGTAATGAGACTGCTGGACAGTCTGGAACTTGGAATTCCTGCACTCTGCTTTTTAAAAATGTTTCCCCATGATTCTTTTCATACATATTCTTTATAGAAGGCATGACAAAGAAAAGGTTTAAAAAGAAAACAAAACTCACCTAAATATTGGAGCAAGTAAGAATAATACACAGAGGCCTGGAGAGAGGAAAGTGTAGCTGATAAAACTTCTCTGAGAGGCAATCTGGCTATATCAAAATTTAAAATGAACACCCATCCCACATGTAGGAATTTATTCTACACAAAATGTTAAGCAAAGATGTGTGTGTATGGATTGGCTGTACATCATCGTTTTCAGCATTAACAGATTGGAAGCAACCTATAAGTCCATTGGTGGGAAACTGTATCAGGAATGTGTCAGCGGCAAGTAACAAACAGGAAGTCTGAGTAGCAGTAGCTGAAATAAAAGGTGGGCTTACATTTCTGACCTGACAAGTCTGGAGGCAAGCTGAGGGTGGCACCGGTTCAGCAAGCACACAATCAGAACCAGCATCTCTGTGATGCTCTTGGCATTTCCCTCCTGGTTCCTCTAGACATCATACCAGCATTCTAGGCGGGGAGGGGAAAGGAGTAATATCTGTTCCCTTTATAAGGAAAGCGAGAGCCTTTCGAGAAGCCTCCCAGCGGACTCCTGCTTTTGATTTATTGGCCTAAGTCATATCGTATGGGCGTATTTGGCTGCAAGAGAAGATGGGAAAGCAAGTATTCAGGGATTCCAGCCTCTACAGTAACTAGAGTAAAAAGACTGGAAATGAGTCCTGGATCAACCAACCAAAGGTTTCTGCCATAGGGACTGGTTAAATAAGTTATAAATAAGTACAACTGAATAATAGAACACAACGTAGTGCTAAAAAGAATGAAGGTGGGGGAGGGATAAACCGGGAGTATGGGATTAATGGATGCCCACTACCACATATAAAATAGATAAACAATGAGGATTTACTGTATAGCACAGGGAACTGTAGTCAGTATCTTATAATAAACTAGAATGGAAAAGACTAAAACAAGGAACATATGTATTAGGATATATACATACCTGAATCACTTTGCTGTATACCTGAAACTAACAATATTGTAAATCAACTCTACTTCAATTAAAAAATAGATTAAAAAACAAAAAGAATGAAGGTGATTGATCTGTACTACTAAAGAATAATCTCTAAGATATTTTGTAAAGTGAGAAAAGCAGGGTGCAAAACTGTGTATAGTATGTCTTTTGTTTAAAAAAGGGGATTAGGGTAGGATGGAGACTGACTTTTTCCCTGTGTATCCTTCTGTGCTATTTGAAATTTTAAAAACAATATGTTGGGATTTTGCCTGTAATCCTGCAACCCACCAAGATAACTTCTAGTAACATTTGCTGTAGTTCATTTCAGGCTTATTTTTATGTCAATAAATGGAATCGATGTATACATTCATATATAGGAACTATAATCCTGTACATTTCCCTCTCTTCTTTGATAGGTACTCATTTGTTATCTCTAATGAGTTTTCATAATGCTACTTCTCGTTAAAAGTGCACTCTATCTGCTTAATCCACTCCTCCTCAATTCTCTGAGCTAGTCTCTCTTCCTCTGCCTTTCCTTTACTCCTCCTCTGCCCCCCGCAGTGATCTTGCTTTCCCCAGCTCCAGTGTACAGATGTTTCCAGTGCTACCTTCACTGGTCTCTCTCTCTCCCTCTGTGCCTCCCTAATTTAGAAAGTGCCTGGCAGGTAGGGATGGGGTGGAGGGTTAACGTGTGCATTTTGCCAGTAGGGGAAGACCCAGTGCCAGGGGGCCAGCAGAGATCCTAGCAAATTAGAAGACTTCTAATATTTTTTGATGCCTACCTTGTGCCAAGCAATATGCTAGGGAGTTTGCATATGTTACCTTATTTATTCCTCCAAACAATACTTCAAAGTGGGTTTCTTTGAGGGAACTCTAAGCCCTGGAACAGTCATGGTATATGCCCATTGTCTTGGCATCATTATTAATGGCATCCCCTTTCACCCTCTAAAGGTTCAGATAAAAAACTGTACAGTTATCTTATCTATCCCCTTTTATAAGTGAGGCTGTAGAGGCTTAGAGAGGTAAAGTAATTTGTCCAAGGTTATACAGCTGGCAAATGATAGGGCTAAGATTCAAACTCGGTCTACACGGCTCTGCTGTGGACTGAAATGTGTTTCCCCCAAAATTCATGGTTGACACCCTAAACCCCCAATGTGACTGCATTTGGAGACAGGGCCTATGAAGAAGTGATAATGGTTAAATGAGGTCTTAAGAATGGGGCTCTAATTCGATAGAGCTGGTGCCCTTTATAAGAGGAGAAGGAGATACCAGAGCTAGCTGGCTCTACCCTGGGAGAACACAGCAAGAAGGCAGCTATCTGCCAGCCAGGAAGAGAACTCTCACCAGAAACCAAATCAGCTGGCACCGTGATCTTTGACTCTCTAGTCTCTAGAACCATGAGAAATGTGAGAAATAACTTTCTGTTGCTTAAGTCACCCAGTCAATGATACTTTCTCATGGCAGCCTGTGCAGATAGAGATGGGCTGTAATATCCATGCCCCTTCCACTCACCATGCTGGTGGGCCTAGTCATCCAGGGCCAGTGTGAGTCCGCGACTGGTCCACACCTAGACTTAACCCTTCTATTTTGTTTTCCTTGAACTTGAGCCAACAGTGGAGTCACGATCCTCTTCTCTAAACTGAAGTAGGCAACTCGTCACTTCCTGAATCAGTCTGGGTCCAAACAGGAGAGAGAAACCACACCATAATTTGAATAAGGAGAATTTAAAGGCTGTAATGGGGTTATACTAATGAGGGATTAGTATGAAGTAAAGAGAACTCAAGAATATAGGAGCAGCAGATACGGGGAGCAACCACTGCTGACAGCGTTAAATAGTAAAATGGAGTGCCCAAAGAAGAATCCTGCACCTCATACACCCAGGCCAAGATCCAAGCCTTGTGGCTTACTGAATGGCAGGGGAGTGGCTATGGTGCCATGCAGGTGGAACTTGCTAGAAAGTCATCCTCTAGGCTGGAAAACTGCCCTCTAGGATGCTGGAGAAAGCTGCTCACAGAGAATCATCTCACTGGAGTTACTGTGCTATGAAAGCACGTAAGCTGGGCAGGTATTGGGGGACGGTGCTGGGTGCTGCTCCCTGTATACCTGGCCTCGTGTCAGGGAAGCTGTCCTCAGAAGGGCGCAGAGGCCAATCACAGGTACTGCAAGAGCCGGGAGGGTGAGCATGCTGGAATCCTAAAGGAAAACCTTTCCTCTTCCAGTGTCTCTCCAGAGCCTTTACTGGCAAAGTTTACCATCCTGCCATCAGGCAAAGGTAAAACATTGTTTCAAAGGTCAAGATTTTCACAAACAGGCACAAAGGATGAATTGGAGCTAAGAGACAGTATATCAACAACCAGCACACTTCCTCAAAAGGATTCCATGTATTAAGACTATAGCTTTCTTCAATGAGTGGTTCTCCAAACTAGGAGGAGGAGGGGGACTAAAAGTATACCTGGATATTAGGGGACAGCGCATCTAGGGAGAAGCTAGAAATCTGAGTTTTTAGTACGCTTCCCAAGTAGTTCTATTAATGAGAGATTTTTTTTCTTTTCTTTGACGAAAGACTTTTCAAACTACTAAGACGGACCCTCCCACCCCCCCATAAAAAGAGTCCTTGGATATTCCAAGGACAGAACCATCCTGGTACTGTGTGTGTGTGTGTGTATGTGTGTGTATGTGTGTGTGTGTGTGTGTCTGAAGTTCTGCATCTTGGTATGCCTGTTTCTCTAAGTGTCCTAGAGCATCTCGGCCTCCTTTTGCCTTCACTCATGGCCGTGGGTCTCAAGTGTAGCTTCATCTCTGCATCTCTCTCTGTGCCTGCCTCTCAGTCTTAATATCTCTGCCTCCCCAGCAATACCCTCTCGTGTCTTTCAACTCTTGCATGCTATTCCTTCTGCCTCCCTCCTTCCCAAATAGCCCCTATTCCGTCTTCAGATGAATGAGTACTTTCCCCCTTTAATTTCCTCCTCTCTTCATGAACGGCCCCACTCCCTCCGTTCTGAGTTAGAGATCCTTTCTATGTTCTCATGACACAGCTCTTTTAACACTGCATTATCATTGCCTGCGTCCCTGGCTCCCTACTAGTCTGTATCTTTCCACTACTGCACCCTGGATCCCTAGTACAGT